CTTCTCACACACCTGTCCTCCCACATCGGCAGCGCAGAGGAAGAGCTGCAAGGCGATGTGACACAGATTTCCACTCTCTGTCCGAGTGGTGAGTGTGGTGTGAGAGCAGGACGGGGTCCAGTGAGTGACAGAGTGGAAAATGTGAAGAACGGCTCAGTGAGCGTTGGTGAGGAGCCAGGAGAGACGGAGGAGAGCGAGGGGGGAAAAGCTCATGTCAGCAGCAGATGAGAAGAGCGAGTGGAGGAGGAGTTGTGCTCAGGGAAAGGAGTAGTAGAAATGATCACATATGGGCGTACCCCTCCTCCACCATCCCCCTGCACTATACACAGCCCTGGGGACAGTTTTCGTGACAGCAAAACCTTTCCCCAAGTGTTTCTGTGACAACAACGCCTGAAGCTCATGCATTTTGTAACAGCTGCTCAGGTATTACCTGTGGTAACACAGCAGGTGCACTTCACTGACTGTATTTTCCACTCGGGGTGTTTTCATCACCCTCACTCTCCCAGTGTGACCACAGAGGTGTTAAAGTGAGTGAACACACACATCAATAACCTCAGTGACAGATTCAAAATGAACCACTCCCTGTGTGGACTGAAGCAGATTTACTCCCTAGATAATCTCCAACTATACAGAAAATGTGTATCCCTAACCCTGAATCTCAAAGTGACAGCTTCTGTCCATCTATTGTCAGTTATTTAATTAATGAACTGCAGCTTACAGAGGTAGATAAAGGTTTTGTTTTCCAAAATGTATTTTTGCCTTGAGGTCTGATTTTATGGTAATAAAGAGGATTTTACAGATTCAATCAATTTACATAAGAAGTTACAAGGCATTACTACGATGGCCAATGAGAGTGGAGTCTTCCAAGAGACAGCAAGGCTGAAGGGTTTCTAAGCTATGGTACACATAAAGCCCCAAGGCTTTAGCTAGCATGCTACTGTTGACAGAAAGCTAACTGGTTAGGGTGATAGGATGAAAAGTTTTTTTCTCTTTTGGACTTATTGGGCCATCTGCTTTTGAATTTTCTCCCTGCAATGGATTATCAGAGCAGGTTGTAGTGAGCCTCTGGACTGTTGGGATCTGTTTCACTGTGAGATTAAATGAGATCGTAAATAACAAAGTGAGGTGGTATGTTTCTTCTCCCTCTGGTGTTCACTGTAATCTTAGTAATATCTTACCAATATCAAAATGTTCACCATGTGCATGTTTGATTATAAGAGAATATCTGTGAAGTTTCCTCTTCTATGTGTGATGAAACCTGAGTTTTAAACTGGACAGCATTAGGAAACTCCCGACCCTGGATGACGCAATTGGGGGATGGGGGGGTGGGATCCACCAATGTGAGCTACGACGCATTAGTAAGCCAATCTGCTGATTTTTTTTTGGCAGGAGCCTCTGAGGACATCTGAGGATGTCACAATTTAATGTTTCATGTCCTTCCTTTTAAAAGACTTATTCAGACAGGCCTTACTTCACTTCCAGTGGAAAGAAAACAAAGATATGAAGGATGGAGACTGGCATGGCCTCATGTGGTGAACGAACAGTTGGAAGTTTCATCCCCCAGCTAACATTTTTGAGAGGGCTGCCAGGCTCACCCTGAACCCACCTGGCCCTGCGTGACAGTGAGGTCAGAATCCCACTGCGAGGGCTGGCGTGTTAATACATCACACAGCTACAGCTCACCCAGGGGAACCTCGCTGGTGTTGGGGAAGGACGGCTGGAGGACATGGTGGGAGGGAGGAGAAGGATGTGAGGGAACAGCAGGAAAGATGGCTGCCAGAGGCACACAGGGTCAAACAGAAAGAAACTACTTTTGCCTTGTTTCCTGTGAGGAAGCACATGAAGGGTTGCTGAGAGAGCATCAATGACTCAGCCATGGATTTGTGTCAGAGGCAGGTTTATGTATAACAGGAAATTACAACAGAAAAGGCAGCAAGCACAAAGTCAGGCTTGGCCTCTACTGGTTCTCTTAAGGTTTCTAACTAGCACCTTGAGGTAGACATTTTGAAGACTTGTAATAGACACTATAATTACATTTTATAACGTATTGTTGTTCACAACTCCGAACAGCTATGTAATGAAGAGATATAAAGTTTCTCTCAGTCTGGATGGTTTTATTCAAGAAATGGCTGGAAAACTTTTTTCTGAATTATGTTTCCTCAAGGGCTCATTATGCCAGTTTTCACTGGTTCAGTGCTGGATGCCAGTTTGAGCTTCCACTTCAGCGTCATGAGCCAGTATGATCGACATGATGCAAGACCAGAAGCGCCGTATGTGCCACTCTGACCTGCCTGCTGTGATGGTGGTTGGTAATGTTGGTAATCTAATCGCACAAGTTGCTGTCAAACTGGGTTACGAATAACAGTGCCATGCCACGTGCCACTTTTTGGTTTTGCCGATACTCTAAGGAGTTTAGCTGCAGAGATGTGGGAGTGCAAGCTAAGAAAAATCAAGCAGTCAGTCAATCATGAAGGCTGCAGACAGTTCAAAAATACAAAGCTGAAGTTTTTTTTAATGTGTGTGAAATCCAATAAGGAACCGCTTTATTTTGTTGTAACTATCCTTATAACCACATCAACCTTTAGAAGAAGAAATGTTAGTCCAGGCTTTTTAGTGTGAAAACGTGAGCCTTGGAGTTTTTTAGTGATTACACATGGAAGTCCACAACTTGGGCAAAATATTTAAGAGAAGCCAATTACATGCAACAGACTCCATCAGAGCTCTCATCTCGAAGAACTGCCCGTACAAACAGGCTTTCAAAGACAGACACTGTTTATGCCTGCTAACCCAAAGTTGAGATGTTTAAATTGATGCCGGGGATTAAAACATCTCCACATGCTCAATTATTTATGAAAGTTGTGTTAAACCAACCACTGGGCAAGACTTAGTGGCAAGAGCTGTGTCACTATTGATCGTGGTGGCCCGAAAAACATGCAGCTGCACTGAGTGCCGGATCTAATGGATCCCAGAGGAGCTGCAGTGGTAAAGGGACCAGACGTGTGGCTCACCATCATGGAGCTTTCATCTGCTGCGCTAAACGTAACTGTTTTATCTTTATATCTTAAATTTAAGAAATCAGGAAACAAGGCTGATGTGAGAAGGGACAGATGCAATTGCATGAGAAAGTTGTGCACGGCTGACTGACTGAAGACGTGAGAGACACAGGCAGCTGGCTCACTGAGCAGTCATCTTCGCGCGCGCGTGTGTGTGTGTGTGTGTGTGTGTGTGTGTGTGTGTGTGTGTGTGTGTGTGTGTGTGTGTGTGTGTGTGTGTGTGTGTGTGTGTGTGTGTGTGTGTGTGTGTGTGTGTGTGTGTGTGTGTGTGTGTGTGTGTGTGTGTGTGTGTGTGTGTGTTCGAGTGTGTCTGTATGGTTCAGAGCAGCTCCAAATGAAATTAGCCATCAAGCCGAGTCCTTTAGCAGCAGTCTGCAGCAGAAAGTCAAGGTCATACTTGCTGTTTCTGCTGATGCATTTGATTCTCAGGAGTCAGCAGCAGGCTGCTGTATAGGAGGAGACTGCTGCCCACTATCCCTTATGCTCATTTCCAAAGTCATTCATCCTCTACACACACTTGCATCCCTCCATTATCACCCTAGTCCTCTCTGGTAGCGGGGTGGTGCATTTACCCATTAAATTAGGTGGGGGATGGAGGGGTTGGCGGTCTCTGCTGGACGGAGTGCCTGGACACCCTCGCTGATGTGCGGCAGGGAAATGGATAGACCTGATTTCCCACGTGACTACAGTAATGGTGTTATAATGGAGGTGGGAACTGTGTAGCCATGAGCAGAGGGACAGATGTAGAAAACTAGCAGGTTCACCTCCCCCTCCTTCCTGTTGTCACAGTGAAACATAGAGCGCTGCTTAATACAGCTGGAGATTGTGGGTTTGATGTTTGTGGTCTTGCCGACATGTATACAGTTCAGTCGAGTGATTTTAACAGCGTTTGCACTACAGCTTCCTACAATTTATGTTTGTATCCCTCTTTACCCACTGACTCCACAGTTTGCAACCATGCTCCCTAAGGCAGGAAGTGAACTGTTACACCTCATCTACAACAGCCGGTCAGGATGCTGTCTCAACACAAGTCAGCTGACTTGATGAAAGTAAAGCAGCATTAAAACTGCATCTTGCCCCAGGCTAGTGTCATAGTGCACTATTATGAGTGTTAGCAAGTGTTATTATGATCTATCGAGGGTTTTGTCAATGTTTCATGGACACAACATTTTATATGCTTAACAAATTGTCAATTTCTATCCCTAATACTCATTTAGAGTTAATATTTTTTGTAAGAAGCACATGAATTAAAATATAGAGAACACTGCAGTGATCTTTTGCATACAGACTGTTGTATATTCTCTCTTCTGGAGGAGCTTTTCAAAGTTTGTATTAAAAAAACCCAGATGATGTCATCTGGGTAATCTGGGTTCATGCCTGAGAATAAAAAGAGATCATGCTTCATCCAGAGTAGGTATGTAGTCTGAAAGATTTTGATATTTAAGCAGCATTCAAGAGAGGTCATTGACATACGCTAACAACCTGCATTATGGGAAATGTAGGTAGCAGAGTTTTAGAGCTGGAACCATACTTGTGAATAATGGTTCATGCTCTTCTAAAATCTGTCCCTTGAAAGTCCCTCTGTATCATGGCTGTAATAGTAAATTGCTTTGCTACGCTCTCAGTCACTGAAACATTTCAACAGTTTTTAATGACTTTTGTGCACTGTTTAGTTAAAAAACTTAATCTACAGAGATGTTTAAGATGCCGATCATGAACAGTCTGACCTTCAAAAAACAATGCAGACAATATTCTTTTTTGGTCTTTTTTTCTGCCCATCTGCCCACTTTTTATCACTGGTCTTTCTTCACCTTTCTTTTCACCCTTTTAACCATGACAAACACTTTTGCATCTACAGAATATTGAAAACGAAGATTAATGTCACAAGGTTAGAGCCCGAGCATTCATCCTCCTGTTTATTCTCTCCTCTCTGTCCTTTGCTTTTAGGAACCATGAGACCCGTGCAGAGGAACTTCTACGAGCCGTCGTCAGCCCCAGGGAAAGGCGTGGTCTGGGAGTGGGAGAATGACAACGGCTCGTGGACGCCGTACGACATGGAGATCTGCGTGACCATCCAGAATGCTTATGAGAAGCAGCACCCCTGGCTGGACCTGACCTCTCTGGGCTTCTGCTACCTCATCGACTTCAACAGCATGTCTCAGACCAACCGGCAGAGCCAGCGCAAGAGACGCCTGCGGAGACGGATGGACCTGGCCTACCCACTCATCATGGGCTCCATCCCCAAGTCACAATCCTGGCCTGTGGGTGCCAGCTCGGGACAGCCGTGCTCCTGTCAGCAATGCATCCTGGTCAACAGTACAAGAGCGGCCTCTAATGCTATCCTGGCGTCTCAGCGGAGAAAAGTCTACGGAGGGACAGGGGGAAACTCTGGCGCTTCGGTAACCCTCACTGGGGTTCGGCAGAGCAACACCTTCGCTGGAACCTCCCTCTGGTCGCCAACATCCGCCTCCTCCGGAACAAACAACAATAACATAAGTGTGGGAGGCGGGCACGCCAAAGCTGAACAGGTGCAGTCACCTCTCTCCTCTGCCAACTTCCCCTGCTCCCCCGTGATGCCGTCTCTCTCATCCGCCCATGGCCACCACGCTCTCACCATCAACGGACAGAACAACCTGAACCGGCCGGGCACACAGCGCATTTCCATGGGGACAGCCAGAGGAGCCATCCCGCCAGGGTAAATATGTTTGCCTACACGCACTCTCCTTATCTTGTAGTTTGAATTCCCTGGAGTCTGCAGCAGTCTGTTACTTGTTTTAAAATGCGTTGATTTGGTTGATTTTACAGTTTAGCTGAGGCAGGATATTGGAAAGCAGTGTCTGCTTCACAAAGCTTCAGCCCGCATGTGTCTAGAGTATTGTGCTGTCATTTTCTCTCCTTCCCTCTTTCTCTTTGCTGATTTATGACTCCTCTTGTTAATGTGCTGATCAATGGATGTGCGGGAAAAGCCTCGGGTCCCTATGACACTTCATTGCCTGAGTCCCATCCTTTTTATGTGTGTTTGCCATGGTTACTTCTCCATAATGAGCTTATACTGGCCCCAATAGGCGTGAACATTCTGCAGCTCCTCTGATCATTCTGTTGCTTCTGCTTTGAACTCATTTGTTACGACCACACTATGATATGGTCGTAACGGATGTCATGAGACGCTTAAAGTCTGACGTTGTGTGCGGACCGCCGGGATCTTTGTGTAAGTGTTTCTTTATTTTATGTGTATAGTAAGGCATGTGTAGCTGTGGAAACCTATTTGCCACGGACGCAGAGCTCCACTGGGGAAAAATGAATAATGGATCAAGGAAAAAATTGGAGCTTCAGCAGAGCGCTGTGACCTCAGAGCAATTCAGCGAAAGGAGCCGAGGAAAAAAAGAAGTGTGTCTAGCGTTGTAACTGATACTTCAGTCCCCCTTCTATCCTGCTTTCTTTTACTAAAATAAACCATCTCCTGATCTAATTTGATTCCATTTTATTCTCTCTGCTCATGGGGAGAGACACACTTACTGCATTTTTGATTATTACCGTCCTTCACCCCGGCACACATGCTTCCACTCTCTCTGGCCTAATTCTGTGTCACTGAAAGGAAACATGTAGGACTTTTTCTCATCATGAAACATTGTCTCAGGTGTGACAAGATGTGTCTCCGTGCAAAGGTGGAGAAAAGCAGCGTAGGATGAACAGCTCGGTTTTCTTTTGTATTTTAAGAAGTCAATGAAAGCTCAGCTGTGTGCAGAGTTGTGGATTAAATGGGACTCTTACCTCGAAGCATATAAGGTTTTTTTTTTGGTTTTTTCTGCGGAGACATAGAAAACGAAATGAAGAGACAGGAGGGAGTGAGGTGGAGTGCATTGGTTCCCAGGCGAGTGGCTCGCGATACAGGATGATTGTGGTTAACATAGACACAGCACGGTCATGAGAGCTCACACACACACATGCAGCACCCCATACTGAAATGTGAACTCCCCTTTGTAAATGTTCCTCTAGCGTGCTGCAGACAGACAACAGAGAAACCCACATAGAGAGTAAAACATCAGATCTGTTTTTCACACACCCTAATATAACTGCAGCTGGGTGCAAGAAAGGTATTGGGCACAGTAAGGCTTGTTAACATGTTAACCACACACACTTGATTGCAAATTTGTAGCTGCTATATTATTTAAATGTTAAAAATACTTAGATTTGATCATATGCTAGAACACTATTCTGTGTTTTTATGACCCATATGTAATTGAATATGAAGTCTGTGGTTTAAATACTGACCCTGGCTATAAGTGGGGAGAGGTTGTGTTGCTTCATGCGTCTATCTCACACGCACAAATATTAGAAGTGGCACCATCTGCTGGATTGTGTAAACACATCAGTTTATCTTATTACCAGGATGACACAGCCCACTATATCTCCACCTGCTATCAGGCTCAACCATAGACTGTAACACGTGACCAGATATAAGCTAAACGCCGGTGGTTTGTGAAATGAGGTCATGCAGGCTTCTATAGATTCTTTTGAATTATTGAGCTCACACAGCAGTCACCCTGTTGCAAGTCTAAAACGGGAAGTTGCTGTTTGTTTCTTGTTCTTTATTTTACTTTTAAAGTGCAGCTAAAGGCAACTTTCATTATCTTGTTCTTTGCTGATCATTTTCTTGATTAGACTGTTTCATCATTTGTGTTAAAAAGAATGATAAAAAGAGCAATCATTTTGAAAATGACTGATATAACATTTGCAAACATTATTCTTACATTGCCTTCTGATTAGCATTCATAAGCACAAAATCCTATTACAGTCTTCACAGCATTTAAAATGCAAACCAAAATCTCAGGTTATGAGAATGTTTCAATCACACTGAGAAATAAGAAATTAAAGTATTTAATTATTCACCTGTTTTAAAAACATAAATAAACATTTTTTTTCATAATAGCAGAGAAATAATTTATATTTTTCATATGTTTTAATCTGTTCGTGTGCCCTATTGTCGTGCATATATATATATATAAGTATATAACTGAGTAAAGATCAGCTCTGTTTGTATTCGGACAGGATTGCTGTGTTTGCAATTCAAATATTAAAAGCAAAGAAAGTCCAGTCCCCTTCATATAAAAGTAAGAAGTGTGCATTTGCATGCTTCCATTATCCGTGCGTGCGTGCGTGCGTGCGTGCGTGCGTTGAGAACAGAGATCATGATCCCTCAGTAGGCTGCTGCTCCGCTCTGGCACTCACTGCAAGATAAAAATTAACATTGAAATCAATGAATAAATCATGACAGCTCATCTGGACCGAACTGATGCAACTTAGAAATTCTTAGTGTCATTATTACTTCTCTACGGGGTATTTCAGGTGCATCTTTAAACAACTTGTAACCCCCCAGATCAGTGTATCAAGAGGTAGGATTTTGCCTCTGCCTCCCACTACACACATTAATATGCAATGAAGCTCTCCTAGAGTTCCCTCCCTGTACCCCCCCTCACTGTCTTTATTGTGCATAATAAACAGATGAGGAGGGATAAGTCCTCTGTCAGCATTTTCCTAACCAGGCCTAATGTGCGCTCTCTATTTGGGGAATCACATCGTTCCGGGTCTGATGAAGTCCTCAGGGCAGGCTGGAGATCCCCTCAGGAAAGGAAGGAAAGATGAGTTAGCTGGAGACAGAGTGGGGAGAGTGATCCCCATGCCCTGATCTGACAGAGGCCGTAATTAATGTGGTGTTAAGGGGTCAGGTATGTAGGGGGCCTGATTCATCACTTAATTGCTTTGGTTTGAGGTCACACATGACAGCTTTAGGTGTGAAACATGCCATCACTGGGAACATTCTGAGCAGCAGTATATTACAAGACACACTATACAGTCCTCTGCCGAAGGTGTGCTTTTCATACGGAGAATTTGGACAGAAGAGAAGAAAAAGGGGTAAACATCGGTGAAGTAGAGGAGAAAAAACGAGAGCTGCCTGGGCGAAAGAAAAGTGGAGGTGACAAGGGTCAGTCTGTTTCGCTGAACGTTTCTTGTCAAAGCTTGAGCAGCAATGTTTTGTTGGGATCATTGGACACTGCAATTATTTTTTTTAGAATATGTTGAAATAATGACAATTGATTTTGTTTTATGGTAGAATTTTTCAATGGAGATGAAGGGTGCTTTTGGACTACCGTAATCTGAGTGTTGGGGGAAAGCGAGGATCAAAAGTGAAGAGTTTATGCCAGAGTTAAACCCTTAAAGTCATGTAGCATTAAGGATTGTCAGCGAGCTGTGAGGAGGTGACATGTGTCTAGAACCCATGGTGCTTGAGGCTCAGCCAGGACAGACCGGGTCAGAGCCTGCAGAGGTGCAGGTTTCTAAAATAGAAAGCAGAGGGAAAAGGAGTCTTAACAGCATGCAGGCGGGCTCCAGGTTGACTGGCTGTTTAAGGTTGCAGTTTAGTGAAGGAACAATTTAGCATTGCATAGATAGGAATTACTAAGTTTTGCTAAAATAATGAGGTGAAGTGCAATGGTGTGGATCTCTCTATGTAAGCAAGTTTAGCAGAGAAAGTGTGTTATCTTGTGTCTTTCAGTGTAGCAGATCATTATCATCAGTAGCTGCGGCTGCTGTTTCTTTTTGCAGCAGCAGCAGCAGCATGCAGCTTTTTAGTTATATATAAAGTATGCAATATGCTCTCTGGCTAATAGTGATATCTTTGCTAGAATTCATAAGCCATAAAGATGAAAGGCGTTCCTAATTAATGTTATGTTATGGATCCTTGACAGATCATCTGCTCTGTGTGCTTATAGGAGTGTGTAGTTCTTGCAGTGTGCAGGAAACACACAATGAGATGGTTTTTAAGGGCTCTTGTGTTATTTCTTCTCTTAGTAAAAATCATTTGTTGGATCACACAGTCCATGTGAACAACCTAAACTAAACTGATAAAAGAATCTCTTTTACACAGCGACTTTGATTTGATTTATGGCTAAGTGCATGTTTAAAGGAAGTAGCAGCGACTTATTACTTTCAACTGAATGTCAGACTCTGTTTAAGCTCATAATGTTTCTGCTCCTGATTTCCGCCCATGTGTCCCTTCCTCTGCCTTCCACATTATCCTCAGCCATGAAAACAATCAGCCAGAGTTGCTTCCCTTCCGCTGTGTTCTTACTCCAACTATTTTTCTCTGAGTGATTGGCGGGAAAGATTGACTGTTTAGTCTTGACAGCAGCAGGAGAGTTCACCTATTATTCCCCTGCTTGCTGCTGTGGTAGAGAAGTGAAATCATTTGCAGAGGTCTTATCTGGAAACTGGAAAACATGCTGCTCAAATCGAACCTGTCACAGTTTCTGTTAACATCCTGACATAAGGTTTGTTATCGTATATCATTAGATCACTGCACATATATGTTTACTCTAATCAGTCTTGCATACAGGAGAGGTCACATGATCCTGGTCTCTGGTCCTCTGGTGTGAATCTTGAGTCCTCACTACAGATGAGATAGAACCTCATCGGGCCTTGTGTCCCTTTTCGTTACTGCACTCACCGTATTGCAGGGCTTCCCCTGGCACAGGATCAGAGGCTTTGGCTTATATCAAAGCAGTCTCTTGATGCAGATCTATGAAACGCCTTGGAGCTGCAGGGCTAAAGATCTCACACGCTGCAGCTTTAAGGAGCAGAGAGATCCAGGGGAATATGTGAAGTAGCATCAGCCCATGTGCGGTTATTAAACTGAAATATCTAACAGGTTAGGCAAAGCTGATGGGAGTATTTCCCAGTATAAGTAATGCAGCAGTCCTCCGTACTTTAAAGGTCTCTGCTATGTGAACTAACTACGTTCTGGTAATGTTTGAAGCTTATAGAGATTAATAAATCTAATGAAATCTGGTCAGATTGTGTTACCCTCTCTGTGAGTAGTTAAGTTCTGCAGTGACACAGTGGAACAGTTATATAGGATGAGTTCTTTATTTTCTTACACATAAACAAGCATGTACATATTTTAATCTGATCCCATACAAACTGATGCCAACATCAAAGGATAGTAATGCAAATGTGTGGTGGGACAAATTTGGAGACATAATCGACTATAAAGATTTCTAAAAGGAATAACCTGGATCTTCTGAATAGATCAGGCCTGTAATCATCCAATCATGCTGCTATTTTTTCAAAGGTCACATATTATATAATTTTCAACAAGTTGAAATAAGCCTTCGAGCTCCCCAAAACATGTCTGTGAAGTTTCTTGTTAAAAATCCACTCTAATCCTGTATTTCATCATGCCTATCTGGTGAAAGGGTTACTGCCCATTGTGATGTCACAAAGGAAAAATCTCCAGGCCAGCCTTTTTGAGCTCACATTTTCTGAAAAGTGGAGCAGGCAAAATACGGAGAGGATGGGCTTTTCTCATAATTTGGGGGTTTGTGGACAGATGAGCATGTTGGTGTTCCAAAAACATGTTAAAGTATAATTTGCATAACTTATTATGTGACATTTAAGCTCACAGTATGTCAAATCTTCCACCAGGGGGCGCTCAATCAAAACAATAACAAAAGATGACGTTGAGGCTAGCGAGGAATCATGGGAGTTCTCTCTGCTACTCTCTGTTTTTGCTCAGTTTTGGTCTCCACCAACCAATTCTGTTTTTTTTTTTTTTTTTACTTTCACATGGGAATCAAATCTGATGTGATGTTCATAAAAACATTTTTTAAAACATGACTTAGGTTACGTTGATTGTTGTTTTTTAACCTGAGAAGTGGAAACTTGCTCACGAGCGCTTCCCTTCTGTGGCCTCTCGCTGTGGGAAACTAGTTGAATTTTTCTCTGGACCCCTGAAAGACAGACTTGTATGCTCGTATTAAAGCCCTGAGAGCTTTTTCCCGCTCCGCTCAACAGATCTTGAAGAGTGCGCAAGTCAACTGTCTCTGTCGTCTGTGTTTGCCACGAACTCATGCCTCTCCAAATGTCATCCTGAATCAGGCTCTGCTGCAGTGCTTTGTATATGAGTCAAGCTGTCTCATCCCATCGCAGTTGACTCTGTATCTGTGCGAGAGCGCATGTGACATTTAACTGGAGTGTTTTTAAAGGCGTACAGAGCAGAATAGGCTGCTGTTTTGTCACCTAATAGGCAGCGGTGCACAGTTGGAAGGATCTGCTGTTGATTTTAGAGGTCATAGGTTTGTTTAAAGACAGTGAAAAACATGAATTTATTTTTTTAAAACAAGCAAACAATTGACTCGTGCAACTCTGCTGACATCTGTGTCTCCACATGACTACTTAGTGTAGAAGTTTGACTTAAATTAAAGAATGATGTAAGCAGGTCACTTTCTGTGGCTGTGAGAAACTTTAAAACATCAATTAAGGAAGTTTTCTTTGTTTTTTCTTCTTCCAGGGTTCCTGCACTCCCAGTAAAGAACCTGACAGGATCTGGACCAGTGCACCCAGCATTAGCAGGTTAGATCACATTCACTGTGCACAGTTTCCTCAGAAAACCACTAACAAGGGTGTGTTTTATGGTGTCCTATTAATCTTTAAAGACAATCACAATCAGTTCCTTTTTTCCACTCTTCTGTTTGTTTGTTTGTTTGTTTGTTTGGTTGTTTGTTTGTATGTCTGCGTGTTCTGTACACCTGCTTCAGGTATGACAGGTATCCTGATGTGCGCTGCAGGTCTGCCGGTATGCCTGACCAGGGCGCCCAAACCCATACTGCACCCGCCACCCATCAACAAAAGTGACATGAAGCCTGTGCCAGGGATCAACGGCATGCGCCGCAAAACCAAGAAAAAGCACCTGAGGAGAGGTAAGATGGAAGAAAAGAGGATGGGAAGAAATTATATGGAAAAAAAAAGTAAACGCTCAAACTTTTTACCCTGTTAGTGACTATTTTCAAAATGCATGGAGGAGAGGAATAGTCAAGTCACTTACAGTCAGCAGACTGTCTCTGTCCTGACAAGCTCTCCAGGATGTTTCCATATCAGCTGTCTGCAAAGCTGATGTTTAGCAGGCAAACAAAACCCAAAGCTGTGATTTTCTGTTGTTGTGATCAAAGGGTTGTAATTGTTTTTTAAATACCTCCCATTAAAGCTCCAAAGGTATTACAATAAATCTAACACCACCCAGGGTAGCTGGTGTTCAGGAAAGTGCTCCTGTTCCTACGCTAAATGAAATGGTTGGTGGTTCAGATTTACAAGCAAATGCAGCAGCTGTAACAATTTCACAAAAGAAACTCTATACATGCAGACTGACTGAGGCCGTGAAAGGGAAAGTACATGATAAGGGACTGCTGTGTTGAGCAGGTTTGAAAGAGGATCTGGTGTTTTAGTACGAATGCTTTGGGTTTGAATAAGTGTTGGTCGATTGGATGCCGCAGAAACTTTCGACCTCCCAGGGGAGTCTTTGTTGTAATTGATGAGAGAGACTGTTTGGTTTCCCTTTCATCACAGGGATTGTCCATTCCAATCTGTCAGAGCACTTTTTGTTTCTGGTCAGCCAATAACTCACAGTAAAACATATTGATGTGTGACTGTTAAGTTTAGGAAAGGTTAATATAGTAGAATGATATTGTGTAATTTGGCATTAGAGAAAATGGAGAAAGTGTTCAATCTGTCTTGTAAATTAGAGCCTGTCTACATGAACATTCAACCCACTGTTTAGGAAGAATACCATTTTCAATTATACATGTATGATTAGAGATTTATTGTTGGTTGGAGTTAACGCAGTAATTCTTTGATGGATGTTTCTTTTGAACACATCCCACTAAACTCAAACAAGACAAAGAGCTTGTAAAACACGTGTTGGAGGCTGGAGCCATAGATATATTCACATAGATGCTGCTTCTGTGCTTGTGAGGTGCTTGTCTCTGTGTCTGCCATCTTGGAGAGGGGTAGATAAAAAATATTGATTGTAGAATATAGATTGAGCAATGAGGCAGCAGCCAAGTGTGCAAACAGTCTGTATGTCTGTGCAAACAGCGTGAATGTGTTTTTCTAATGCTCTGCTTTCTGCACAGAAAAAGGTCAGAGAGGCTTTTGATCCAAATGAACAATCATATCGCAAAAAGTGTTTAAACACACTATTGAGTCTCTTCTGTATTTTTCCTCCTTTTTCCTGGTTTCCTCCTCCCTCTCCTCATAACTCCCCTGCCTCTTCTGTCTTCCCCCAAGCCTTTGTACCTTAACTCTTTTTTTTTTTTTTTTGGCTCAGTCTGTCTCTTGTAACTGCTCTCCCTCCCTCTGTTCACTGGCTGTCCCTCAAATGAACAAACAAAGGCTCCATGGGAAAAGTGGTTGCCTCTAAGCGTATTAGGGGTGTAAGCTGTGGGTGTGCTCTCAGCCATGCTAGCCGGGTTGCACACAGGATTATGAGGGAATGCAGGGACGGCTGGTTGTTATGTGTCAGTTTGAAGGTGACCGCCTCTTCAAAATCCCCGACATATATACTCATGTATACTTATTCACATGCACGCCCAAACTCTTTAAATGCGGGGGGAAAAAGGTTTTATGTCAATCCGAGGCCTGAGAGTTTGCTGAAACATGACATGTCATGTTATATCTTTAGTGTTCAAAAGACAATTGCCATCTGAGGTTTGAGCCTAGAGAGTTTGAATGCCAGTTTTTCCAATGTAGGCATATAGTAGCGCTCCAAAACCAGTGTGATGAAAAAGACTGACAACTGTTGTATAACTTTTCTTTGTACGTAAACGGATTCTTAACTTAAAAATAAGCTATATCAACAAGCAAAGCTAATGTTAGCCACAGCTTGGCTCACTGCCCCTTTGTGTCACTGTGTAAAATAAGCCTAGCGTCTTTTTGATCAATTCTGGTTAATGTTTTTACTGGTTTTAGTTATTTTAGTTATTTTATCTTTAAGTTTTAAAAAAACAACAACCTTGAATTGTGTGGGGAAATGCAGTACACGCTTACGTTACACTTTTGGCTAGCATCCTGCTGTTGTTGTTTGCTTTACATTGTAATTCTCCTAAAACCAGGACTTTTCTTTAATGGAGTTTCTAATGGCAGCAATGATATGTATTATTGTGGTGTAGGCCACCGTTGAGAAGAAGGTTGTTTTCTTTTGGTGAGGGAAACAAATCATGGTATCAAATTGGCAAATTGACCTGCAGTTATGTGGTATCACATCTCAGTAGTTCTGAGGCATTTCTTATTCTGTTCTGGCCTTTTTTTTAGGGGCGAGAGAGAGAGTGGGGAAGGACATATTGTCATGGGGTAGGTAGGATTTGAGCCCCTACCATCCGTTTCGAAGCCTATGCCTCTGTACATGGGGCGCACAACTTACCACTAGGCCACTGGCCCTCCTAAGTTCTGAGGCATTTGTGATACTAATATCAGTAATGGAAAGCAAGTAGCCTTAATAATTAATTTACAACTTGTTTTTGATGTTTATCTTGTGCCCTTTTTTTTCCACAACTAGGGAAAAATCCAGAGGATGTAGTGCGGAGATACACAGATAAGATTAAAGTGGCTCCAGATGAGGTAAGAAGAAGAAACAAAAAAGGGATTTGTGCCCACAAAGAGATGCACTCAGTCACCTTAAAAAGTGTGAATATCTCATAGATGTGCAATCATGAAGAATAGCAGCTAAACTATTTTGGTCGGCTATTCCAGGACTGTACCATCTGCATGGAGAGGCTTGTCATGTCATCCGGCTACGAAGGCATCCTGCAGCACAAAGGCATCAAGCCAGAGCTGGTCGGCAAACTTGGCAAGTGTGGGCACATGTACCATCTGCTGTGCCTGGTGGCCATGTACAACAATGGCAATAAGGTGGGTAAAAGCTTGTGAGCCAGACCCTGTTATTATGTCACTCAAGCTCAAAATATAAACACTCAATTTTACACAGCTTGGCTGTATTGCAGGTAACTGGCAGAGGATCAGGCTTCAATTTTGTTAGGCGCAGATGGGATCACATATAGTTTCATCAGATCTGTCTCAAGCACAATACCTATTATAGATTCTGCTCACCTCATTGCCAGGAACTAGCAGATAACATGAACAGCAGAAATGATTTTGTCTTACTTCACTCTGGTTGTTTCTCACTAAGCAGGTAGTTGTGGTTAAATTTGTGTTTTAGAAGCATTTAGAACTGCGTATAAAAGTGTTATCAGCACATGCTCAGGAGCAATATTTACTCTAGACTTGATCCACTCCACTCATGACAACATTTCTTTCTGACTTTTTTATCAGAAGCTTCTCCCTTAGAAAGGGAATAAGGCACTGGTTTAATAAATGAATGAAAAGTGGAAAAATAGTGAATGAAAGATAAGTTGGTGTTTTTAAGAAGTAAGAGACATTTTTATGACATAAAAAAGGTTAGCTTGTTAGCTTACAGTTGTTTGCGATCACAGCTAGCAGTTGCAGAGCAGTCATTCGTGTTTCTTGCAACCCTGTAACTTTTCAACTCCAGTTTGATTGTCACAGACTTCTGAGGTATACAGTATATCTTTCTTTTTGTTTCCTTATAGTACTTCTTTTTTTGCAACCTAGTTTTGTATGTGCTGTGCGGTGAATTTCCTATCTGAATTCAGTTGCATTCAAGCTTGATGAATCAAGTGAGATTGAACCAAAACATTTAAAAACAAACCAACAAACAAAACAAGTTAAAAGTGGGAAAATGTTGTGTGGATCTGAGGGTAGCTGCAGAATTGTTGTTTACAAATACATAGAGACAGATATATTTTCAGATACAAAAATGCAAGGTCGGATTTGAACCTGGACGACCAGCGCCCCAAGGATTCCCCTTTAAATTATGACAAAGAGACGGGTATCTTAAAATGAAATCCATCCAAGACTTGTCCGCATGTCTAGATATCACGGAAGAGAAAGTGGAAAAACTGACCGTTTAAATCAACAAGACACTAAGCAGTAAAATGTAAGTGTCATCGTATTGCTTCATGACTTTGAAACTATTTTATTCAACTTTTCTTCAAACTAGGATGGCAGTCTTCAGTGTCCAACATGTAAAACCATCTACGGGGAGAAAACAGGCACACAGCCTCCTGGGAAGATGGAGTACCACGTCATCCCCCACTGCCTGCCCGGCTACCCTGACTCCAAAACCATCCGCATCGTCTACGACATTCCTGCTGGGATCCAGGTCAGAACCAAGTCCCTTCAATAAATCTACCATGCTGCTTTTGCGCCCTGATCCGCTGTAAATCCGTGCCCTTTCTGCACCTGCTACTTATCCGCTTAGGTTTGATGGTTGGTTGTTCGTGCAGGAAGGTAAAGTGTTGTAGCCCTGGGGGACGATCACACCGTCACCGTGAAGTAATAGACTCCTTAGAATCTTTAAATTTAAAGTAATAAACCCATGATTTAGAATATACTATATCGAACAATAGGTTTCCAAAAATCCAAAAACAAGAGACGGAATCCAATGAAGGCTATTTTAATTTTGTATCACAAAGCAGTGGAGAGGAGAGGTTGTTTTTTTAGCCTTGGTTAGTGTTGGTGAGATGAGAAGGTCGCATCGTGACTGCTGAGGAGAACTTTAATAGAGTCAATAAACTGACCTTTTCCAACCAAAGGAAAGGGCTTAGTGTCCCAGGGGACAGAGTACAGCAGGGGTCTCCTGAGCACTCGGGTCTGCACAGCTGCAGTATATCCAAGAAACATTTCTGTTTGTCCCCTGCTCTCTCTCTCTCTCTCTCTCTCTCTCTCTCTCTCTCTCTCTCTCTCTCTCTCTCTCTACTCTGAGTCCTCTGTCATGGAATTACTGGACAACAGGAATATAACATTTGGTCGTATATGAATAACTGTGACCAAATGAATGAGAATTAACTCCGAACTGTTTCATTGGGATAACCCTGAAAGATAACTTACAGAATAAAATATAAATACTCAATTTTTCTGCTTTCAGGTGAAAAAAAAGAGAGTCAAATTGTGTAATTTGAATCTTAATTAATGTATTTAATAGAGGCAGAAGAAGCTCAAAAGGGTTAGGCTTAGGAGAGGAGACAAAACAATTTAAGATTCACTAGAATTTATGGAAGAAGTAAATTATGTTCATAGTTTGTCATGACAAGACAGCTGCTACTACACGTTTCCTTCATTAGTAAGCGTTGGGTTAAATGTAATGAGGGTGCAGGGATGTTTGCAAGGATGGTTGCAAATTGATGGATTAGGATTATATCAATCATCCTAAAGAAACAAAGATTTTTCAAGAGATAATTGGATATTTTCGGTAGTGTATCCGTCACATTATTCACACAAAGGGCCGTCGTAAGCAGCAATAACACTAAAGCTCGTCCTGTGGGTGCTGTTGACATTTGCTGGACGATTAAGTCGTAATCGGAACAGAAGGAGTTGTAATGTTTGCTTTTGTTCTTGACATTTTATCCAGACCAACGAACACCCCAACCCGGGAAAGAAGTTTAGTGCCAGAGGGTTTCCTCGACACTGTTACCTGCCTGACAACGACAGAGGAAGGAAGGTAATCTGCGACAGCTTTCAGAAATCATAATTGTCCAACACTAAAGCTCAACAAGCATTACAACCATGCTGCATTCAAGTCCATCTTGCTGCACAGATTTTGTTTCTTCAGAGGTCATCTTCTCTGCTCTTTCTTTGCTTGTCTTTTTAGAATTTTCAAAACCAGTTTCCCTGAATGTGGTTGGTTGCTCTTTCTTGTTGCAATAAATGAATCATAACTATGTTCTCCATCCTCTTCTGTCCCTCTAGGTCTTGAAGCTGCTGATAATGGCCTGGGACCGACGCCTCATCTTCACCATCGGCACGTCCAGCACCACGGGTGAGTCGGACACAGTGGTGTGGAACGAGATCCACCACAAGACAGAATTCGGCTCCAACCTGACCGGCCACGGCTACCCTGACCCCAACTACCTGGACAATGTCCTGACAGAGCTGTCTGCGCAGGGAGTCGGCGAGGACAACCTGAAGGACTGATCTTGTCCTTATACAAAGGAACCACAACCAACCATGCATTGCTGTCTGCAAGAAGACAGTGACACTGCATGATAGGTCAAAATGCAGCCAAGATCTCTTTATTATCCTCAAACAAAAACACCCTGCAGAAGTGGTGGAGTAAGAGCAATGGAAGCAAAATAAAGGACATGGCTCTAATCCATTTTTTGATAACTATAAATCTCCCCCCTGCTGTCTACTGATCCATGCCTAGAGCATGCTGTGTTCATGCCAAATTTTTTCACAGGGAAAACGGTGTTTAGAAAAGGTGAGATTTCTATCCTGATGTCATTTGTTGCAGGTTATCGATTCAAACCGAAGCTGTTCCTCTGAACTTGGAGTAAATAACAAGGGGCCAAAACTTAAAAAAAAAAAAAAAAAAAGCATATTTATAAATGCTAAACTCCAGAATGCATGGCCCAGACTAATGCTGCAATGTTTTCAATGTTGGGGGGATCTCTGCAAGAGACAAGCTGTCGATAAATCAGTTATTGCTTGTTATTGTGAAGAGATTTGAGAATTTCAGCATTTTTAATAAATCCAAACTTATCAAGAATGCTGAAATTCCAAATGCATCAATTATTTATTTTACTCGTCTTTCTCTAATAATGAATTATTGTCCTGTAACAAATGGTGATACTTGAAATTATAAATTTAACTATAAAAGTGCATCGATAACATTTCCCACTCCTGAAACTTACGGTCAGTTGTTCTGTCAAATGGGAGTGTTTACCGTAGTGCATGAAGTAGAATCCAGAGAGGTAAAGGCTATGAAATATTTAGTGTTTGGTAATAAAAGTATGTTGTGCGGTTGACTTTGAAGACTGTCTAAGAGAGGAGGCGTGAAATAGATGAAACAAGCATCTTACCAGCCAGTTTGAGGCTTGTTACGAGGTGTTGTTTCTTGAAGGGTTGAAGTTGTGATGCAGAGGTTTGCCACGCTCCAAGGTTACACTCATTTGTTTTGTTGACACACTGATGACGCTGACCTCTGTGAATATAAAGCCTTCATTAATTTTCTCCTCGATGAAGCGTAACCCAGCATTGACATGATCCATCATGCTGGCCGTACATAAGGGGCCAGTATGTTGTTGCGTGCTCTGAGGCATTCATTTGCTGGCTTTCAGGAGAAAAGCTGAACACGCTCCTCACAGATGGATGTCCCTCTTTCAAACACCAACAGTTTGTCCCTGGAGACGTAGCTCGGGCAGCACTTCTGCTTGCCTGCAATCTACAAGTCTCTAGTGAGCTTGTTTGCTGTAGGCAGAGCGCCGAGCTCCACTGCATGTATAGCCAGCAGTGAAACGTCTTATTCCCAGTGCGATCTCACACAGCGATGTAAAGGCCAGTCCTGATGTATGGACTTGACCCTGCTCTTCTCCTCCTCAGCAGCAGAGCACTTCATTTTAAGAACCAGGCAATTGTTGGTCTAATATGTTGTTAGCTGGGTGCAATTTTTTCCAAAGCTCTGTCTTTCCCCCTTTGGATTTAATGCCTGAGAAGTACATATTTTGAATGTCCTTGGTGTAGACTCTGAGATAAAACATGGCCCCAGTGCTGCATAATTCTCTGATTCATTTTGACGAGGACGGGTGTGGATGTAGTGTTTCCTAAAGGCACCCAGCTGTGAGCTTAATTTGGAGTAAATCATAGTCTTCCAGTGCACATTGAGTGCAACAGTTTCAATCGGTCGTTTTATTTTAAGAAACATATCTTAAACTGCAGCTAAATCTGTCTTTTTTTAGTCAATGTTTATAAGCTGGCTTGCAATGCTTCAAAAATATAAATAATTTACATTTGCAGATCTTTAAATTCAAGCTGAATTTGAGTCGACGGTGTAAGTTTAATTATTTTTATACTCTTCTGTAAAGAAAATATAAAAACATACTGACTGGCCGACAGAGGCCTATCTATACGCAGGCACATGTTGAAATGAATACATAAAATCTGGCAAAGCTGGATTTGTCAGTATGTCAGGGACTGTTGAAATATGTACGACATGTTATGAACGTCTTATATTACAAGTAGTCTTAGCATATGCTGCTGTTGTTACCTTAATGTAGAATCGGTGTAGTTGACCTCAGTGGGACTCCAATAAATACAGTAAATGTGTCTTTATTATTGGTGGGGGAGCTTTAGCAGCATGAAGATGGACGGCCGCCCCCCCCTCCCCCTCCCCTTTTCTACTTGACCAGAACATGGGAATGGATGCAGTCAGCAATCTTTGTGCAGTCCAAAGGTGAAAACAAAGAATGCCTGGGTTAATAAGAAGCTACAAATGATACTCAATGATTCTTATTTTTTTGCATAGCAACACGCTTGTGTTATCATCCAAATGTCAATCTTCTGAATTCATTTCTTTAAGCCCTTTAACCTAAATTTAAATAATCTTTTTACTGCTAACTCTAAAATGAACACTATACAATTGTCCAAAGCTGGAACTATTTTAGATATTGTACATTGTGTTTGTGCGTACCATTATTTGTCTAACATCTAAACTAGCTAGTGTTCTTTACTTCTGAGTTAAGAACATAGTGAACTAGCTCTTTGATAGTGAAACTCCTATAAAAAATCAACCAATGTTGAGGCTAGTTAGCGATGCATGCTAGTTTGCTTTGACGGTTGCTGTAAATAAGCTACATAAAGGGTTCAATTCTTTATGAAAAATGTTTAACACTCAAGCTAGCTAGCAATTCATGCTAGTTATTTAAGACTTGAGCTGTCAATAAACTATTTTAGTTCTTGAAAAAACAAACTTGTAAGCTATCTGCAATAGCTAGTTTGGATTAGCTGTAAACAACTTATTTAAAGGTTAAAGTCTTAGAGAATTCAGTTTTTTTTTAGCTAGCTAGCAGAATACGCTTGTTGGTTAGACGTAAGTGATAAAGCTAATAAGAGTTCCATTCTTCATTAAAATTAACAAACATATAAACTTGCCAGCAATGTATGCCAGTTGGCCCAGACATTTGCAGTAAAATATTTTTATGGGTTAAATTCTTCATTAAAATTAACTTACATTTCAAGGGTGCTCGCAATGTAGGCTATTCTTGTTGTTCAGAAGTTGTCTGTAAATTACGCTCGAAGAAGCAATCAACCACTTTGATCGTTTCCTAATCATGAGCAATATATAGGCCTACTACAGAAAGGCGATATGAACCATGTCACTTAAACTTTTAGGCACATCTGCAGGCTACAGAAAACGACAAACAAATATTTGTATGCTTGATATAGACCCAGGTGTTATCTTTGTTTGGCTTGTTCCATCTCCTTCACAACCTTTTTGACTCCCTTTATATTACAGGACAGCAAAAGATGATGCTTCCAATCTATCAGGGAATTTTTTCCATGTCAAGTAAAGTTACATTAAATAGAGGAATCCAATTATTTGCTTCTTTGACTTTCTTTTCAATGTGTCGGCCTTGTTGTATGAAGGATTAAGGCCGCTCAGACTTTTCAGGTGTGTACAGACTTATATAGGAATGATTCATAAAACATGGTTTGGTATTTGTCTGATTAAGAAAGAGAGAGAGAGATGGTGTTTATGCAATTTACTATTTTTAAGATAATATAGGCCTACATGGTGTATGTGTAGCAACAAGGCTGTTTTTTTTGTTTGTTTATATGACAATGGATGTTTTCTTTATGGGGTGACACCTACAGGTTTTTAAACAAAGGGGTTGCAACCCGAGGATGTCCACATGCTATGTATTAGAATACATATATTTTTTATGTCTTTTTTTTAATAATGATTGTCTCTAGAAGATATATAACATTGCTGTATTACTCTTATTATGGCCCATTCCATACCATTTTCCATTTGATGAGAAGTGGGATAAGAATGATTCACTTTTTCTTAACATGAGGTATTAACAGTTGTACTCTCACAGTTGTACTCTCTTGAAATGATACCATAACTATTTCTGTTGGTATATTGTATGTTTGTATCTGTTCGTCTGTGCGAGAGTGTGTGTGTGTGTGTGTGTGTGTGTGTGTGTGTGTGTGTGTGTGTGTGTGTGTGTGTGTGTGTGTGTGTGTGTGTGTGTGTGTGTGTGTGTGTGTGTGTGTGTGTGTGTGTGTGTGTGTGTGTGTGTGTGTGTGTGTGTGTGTGTGTGTGTGTGTGTGTGTGAACGTGTGAACGTGTGCTGAGTGTGTGTCCAGCAAACAAATCTTAGGTTCATGTCCTTTAAAGATACAGTAATGTTCTCCTAGAGGTGCATGTTAACCAAACTGTGAGCAGGTTAATTGATAATGCATAGCTTTTTGCGTCTGAAAACATCATAGCTTATTTAGAAATATCACCCAAGTCTCCTTGGGATTTAGCACTGTGGTTTTGCATCTTTCTCCAGATAGTTGGAAAGGTTTTTCCTCTTTCAGGTTTGATTTATACAGATGGGGAATGAGGCAGCGTTTGGCTGCTCTCCTCACTGTTTCTACTTGTAAAACATCTGAATGTTTTGCATTTTAAGTGCCCATTTTAATTGGCATTTTCAAATCATGAGATTTGTGGTTTCATTTTAAGCTGTGTCTACATATTGCTATTGAAAATTGTCCACAAAGAGTAACTGAGATAAACTAAAAGCAAGGTATAGAGACATTGATTAAACTATAAAGGGCTTCTTAATCTATCAGTCTTTATTGAATTGTGATGACCTTGTTGCATGTTTGTGTGTTTCTTGTGGAAAAATAAATGTGCCCTGGACAAGGGTAGTTTGTTTGACCTTTTTGTCACCTTGGCTCTTTCTCATTTCTTTCCACCACTTTGTAAAATGTCCTCGTTCATTTAGCTCCATATTTTCCCTCTTCCCAAGCAGCTCTCTGCTCTACACCCCTGTTATGTGGATATAAATGGCTTTGCTTGAGCTGTGGTATGCAGCTGAAACAGTCCTCACTGGCCGTAAATTTACTTTATGATCATTTTCTGTCACAGGCTTCGGTATGTTGGTGCTGTGTTAAAGAGATGTGGTTGGTGAATACAAAAGGAGGCTGTACCAGGCCTGCGGGAGACATACTTCCCCTTCAACACACACTCTTCTTCCTTCCAGCTTCGACCCATCAGCTCAGGGGTCAGTCTCCACCTGGGTCTGGTACCCAAACCTACGACCCTGCCTCCTCTCATGCCTAATGAGAGCCCTACAGGGAGAATCTTCTGCGTCACTGCTCTCATTAACATTTAAATAAGGCCGGAGGAGGAAATGGTGGGAAATATTGTTTTTTTCTAGATTGATTTAACATGGAGGTGTGATTATTATTACCATACTCTGAATGTATGAGTATTATTGCATATTGCATATTATTGCATGTGCTGAGTCAACCTTAAACATTTGGGGTGGGACAAATTAGCAATACAACATCAAATCGTCCTCCTGACTCCTGTGATAAAATCATCAAACTGTTTGTACCAAACAA